TGCAGCCCAGAACCTGTTGACCTGTGAATCAGCAAATCATTACCTACAAGGTGCCTTTATGAACAAATCATAAAACTTAAACATGAATGACAGGACAACTTGATTGGCTCATCATTAGAACATTACTCATTAATAATTTTGATGAAGAAGTATTCATTAAGTCACTGTAAAGGAAAACTAGTAAATATTTTTTGGTTCATGCCTCTGAAACGTGAGTATTTGCTGTTTTTTTCTTTGTATAAACAAGCAACTTTTCAATGAACCTTGGTTTATAGGAATTTGTGATGGGTATTTTTCACTATTTTGACACTTGGGACCAAACAGATGAAAGTTTAAAAGTAAAATTAAAACTAATCAACAGATTTTCTGCAGTTACTATCTATAGGGGTCTGTACAGTGATGCAGTCTGCACATTATGTCCAAATGGCACATTCCAGGAAATATGCACGGCCCTCTGTGAACAGCAGGCGCACATACATGTACGTTTAGCTAAGCCGGTGCCGAGGCGACGGTGCTTGCGAGGGGCCTCAAAACCCATCTCAATTTGGCCCGACATGCAGTGATCAAAGACAGAGATCAGATGTGACTTTAGGAACATAATGTGCTCAACCAAGTGCACCGAGCCTTCCTGACAGGACAAAGTTGGTTCAGGGTGGACAGTGATTTTCGGTGCAGTGCAGTGTTCTTTGTCTACGGCAGTGGAGAGACGAGTCACAGGGGGGTCTGCAGACATATTGTAGATTCTTGTTAAAGTGATCAGATCACACAGTGTTCAAACCATCACTGAGACGTCAAACTAAACATGTAGAGTCTCCCCTTCTGTTTCATACTTAGGATCCAAGAAGCTGAAGCCAGTGTTCCCCCGGGCTCTGTAAGTGTTTTCATCTCTCGTACAAGCAGTCCAACTGGGCTCCCTTGAGAATATGCTGTAGCACAGTAAATGCTTATATATATACGTGTGTATTCCTTTTGAATAATTCATTGTTTAGTGATCTTTCAAAATTAAGATATGTAAATTGTCTAACCAGGTTTCTAATTAGCATTATAGGACTGTGAAGAAAATGTGCCGAAGAAAATATTCATGCAACATATTGAAGTATTTGTTTGGAACCTTCCACTCCACACACATATTCATACAGCTATGTAACTTTCACCTTAACTGACACTTTTGTATAATTTATATCATATAAATATAATTATAATTTAGTTTTTACTTCTTCCATGGGAGCAAATAGAGCAGAGACAGAGAGCCACAGAAATAATGAGGAAGTGTTGAGAGAGTGGCTGATGCTTTGCTTGAGGACAAAGGTCAAACTGAAAACAATAACATATTGGCTGAAATCTTTGTTTTTCTGTGTTTTCATTTTTAGCCTGGCTCTTACTGGAATCAGTGGGGTTACTGCCAGGCTCTCTCTCCCACAGCCAAACAAAACCAACCTAAAAAACATCCTGAGCTGAGTGAGACAGATGCTCGTGTTGTTATGTTGTGTACCATTAGGCTTCAGATTTGCACTCAAGACCATGAATATCAACAGTTTTCCACCCAGTCTGGTTCCCACCGGTGATTGGAGAGTGATGGAATGTAGACACACACATTACTGTGCAAACACGTAAAACGTCCCATCAGCAGAAGCAGCGAGGAAGCATGAGATACAGTTGGGTTTACGGAGTTTAGGGAATGGAGACAAATGAAGAGACTCTCAGTGCGACAGGAAGATAACGAGAGCGACAGAGAAATATGATGATTCAAGGCCCAGACTGAGTGAGAATAACCTCATGATACAAAAAAAATACTCAGCACTCCCATTTCAGCTTTCACAGTGTGTGTGTGTGTGTGTGTGTGTGTGTCTGACCAGTCACTGTGTTCCACTGGCTGTTACACTCTGTCAACATGCAGAGATGCTGCTTGCTGCGAGCGTCAGTCCTGCGCTGACCTTGGCTCAGACACATGTTTTTCTTGTTTTTTATCAGTCACCTGTGTGAGGTGTCTGGGCGTGGAAAGCAAACACTGGTGCTTGCAGCTGATGTTTGTTGGCTGATGTGAGGTTACAGATGTACAGAGGAGAAAAGGCCCAGAGCTTCTGAAGGATGTTTTTGAGGTTTCCAGAAAACTGCCAGGAAACTGTGTTTTATCTTTCTGCGTCAGTCGGTCAGAAATGAAACTATCTCAGCTTGCATGGTCTGATTAGACCATGCAAGCTGAGATAGGTAGGTTAAAAAGTGGCATGATGCAATCCTCCAGCTGATCATAACAATTAGTAAATTAGAGCTACTTAAATCATTTTCATCATTTTGGCACCAAACAAAATAAGACAGTATCATAATGTTAAATCACTTCCATTTAAGGTCTCAATCTTAATATGATTGAGTTTTAAAATTCAATTGAATTGAATTGAATACCATTTATTTTTATTTATTATTTTTGTGCAATGCATCTTGTAAAGCACTATTTAGCCTTGTTCAGATAATTATTATACAAATAAAGTTGTAATTATTATTCCATTGCAATGTGTTGGTTGCAGTTCAGCAATAACACACACACACACACACACACACACACACACACAGTTGTTTATCCATGAGTTCAGAGAACATCACATTGTCTTACATTTGATTTGTGGAGATTTACTCTAACCTAAACCTCATAACATGTCTTCACCTTAAGATGCAGTATTTACATAATGGGGACATGTTTTTTGTCCCCACATAGAAGACAAGTCCGTGTAATGTGACTGTTTAAACCGATGTATGTGGAGCAAAGAAGGAAAACAAGCCACTTAGCAACACTGAGTGAGGATTGCAACATTTCCCATTGTGGTTATCTCAGCCATGATGTCTGGGTTTGTTTATTTTGGAGAGCAACTTTTAGTTTCACTATCAGTCTCACTGAGTTTATTTTGAATCGGTGACTTATTACAACATAACATAACTTTTTTTTGTGATCACTTTTTATTAATTATTATTATTATATAAAGCACCATAACACTCACAGCACTGTCACAAGGTGGGAACCTAATAAGATGACAATACCCCAAAAACATTATATAATCATATTAAATGTGCTGCATGGGAATGTAATATGTAATTGAAATACATAAAGTCACAGCTCAGTTCATCATCATGTTTGTCTGACAAAATAAAACCAGGAGAGTCTCCAGCTCCTCAAACACACTTTGTTGACTCTCACACAGAAAATCTTCCATTTCCAGAGAGAGCTCGACCATTTTGTGTGACGTGTCCCGTATGTCTGACCCACTAACACACTTCTGAGAGGGGGGAGGCGGCGTGACGTCAGGGAGGGGGGCGGAGTCCTCGGCGTTGAAAACAGTCGCTGCCTATAATCTCTCCACTTCCGGTTCTCTGGTGGGGATTTTTTTTTGCGCTTAATTTTTTCTTCTTCTCTTCGTCTGCGTCACTTATTTGACAACAGCCCCTCGGTTACTGCTTTCAACCTTTTTATTTCATGTGCTCTGTTTTCTAATTATTTCTTCTTGTTGATTTATAATGCGGCTGCTCTCCGTCGGTTCGACGCTGAAGCCCTGCGAGGTGTTCCTCTCCAGCAGGATCCCGTCGGTTTGTGTTGGTTCCTTTGCTGCTGTCGAGGAATGAACTGTGGATTTACTGTAGATATTTACCACCGGGGAAGAATCGTATAAATGCTCGTGTCGTCGAGGAGAGTCCCTGCGTTTGAAAACCGAGAGGTAAGAGATCAAACCAGGGGAGAGGTATTGTCTGAGGCAGCTGCAGCTCGTTATCCCGCCTACAGACACACACAGACACACACAGACACAGACACACACCCTTACAGGATTCAAACCCACTCACACAGATTTTACACTTTGCATGTGTTGGCATTGAAGTCTGGATGTCGCTTCGCCTGCAAAGTCTGAAAAATGGCCCGTGTTTGTGTTGTTGTTGAAGCTGCGCCTGTGTCCTGCTGCAACTCTTGACCCACATCACGATGACAAACACACAAAAGTGACTCCTGCACAGAGGGACTCGAGTTGTTCAAGCTGCTGGTTTCAGCCTCACGCCAGTTTTATTTCAGATTTTATTTAACTTTTCTGATAATCTACTTATTGCATCACCTTTTATTTCTTCTATTCCTCATAAGTATGATGTGAACATTGCAGCCAAGAGAGAAATGAGTACAGTCCTCTTATGAAACCACACGTAAATCCACCAGATCCAGATTTCAATCCAGAGATTTTATCCAGGCTTTTAATCCATCTGTAAAAAATTCATGGAGATCTTTTGAGTAGCTTTAGTTTAATCCTGCCAACAAACCAATACAGATGAAAACATATCCTCCTCGACAGAAGTAATAAAAAAAACTATTTTAGTGGTTTGATCTTTGCAGTGAATGCAGTGGGCCCAGTTCATGGATTCCTCCGTTTATTTGAGTATTTGTTACTAGATCATTAGATCATGAAACAGCATATTTAAAATCCAAATGGAGATACTGTCAAGAAAAGTCAGTGCTACATAGACTGATAAAGATTTATAAACTGATATAAACTCAATTATAAATGTTTACATCAATGTTTGAACTAGAATGTCAGCAGATCACAGGCCTCCACCATGGCCCAACAGTCCCCTCCTGAAACCACATTTAAATCCACAAGATCCAGTTTTTATTTGGTTCTGCACCAAATTGCACACACTCGTAACTCACACGTCCTTGGTTCTTTTTTACATCAAGATCCATGAATAGTTCTCAGAGAAAGTGACGAAAATGTAGGAACACACCCTATTTCGCAATGTGCTCGAGAAAGTTGTAAATAATCCATCCAGTAGGTTTTGTTTGTTCCTGCTGTCTAACAGAGAGACAAACGAAAACATAACTTCCTTGGTGGGTTCAAGAATGAAAAAAAATCACTGTTTCCTTGTTGTTATGTGTTTGCCAACCCAGTCACATTGTAATCTGTCATTCTTTGCCTCTCTCCACCTCTGTCAGGTGCGTGTGCCCTGGGCTCGGCCTGGCCTGTGCCGTGGTGCCGATGAAGAACCCGGGAGCTGCCGAGAGCGGCCGGCTGGTCGGCCTGTTGGAGGGCGCCCTGCTCAGAGAGGCCCGCCTCTGGAAGGTGCCCGTCTTCAAGAATGGATGCATCCAGGTGAGACACGTGCACATGTAGAAGTTAACGTCTAATTTTTCTAAACACTAACAGTTATCTCCTACTCCTGTAAATTCTTCAGTTAACTTAACTGCTCCTACACTGAAATAAAATCCACATTAGCTCTCGTACTAAAAAAACTCAATCACCTATTAAGCAGTCGTCTCCCCCCTCTGACCCCTCAGGGTGCTGACATCTCTTCATCCCAACACCAAGAGATGATCGTTTGGCTCGGAGAAATGAGCCGACTCTTCCAGTTCTGTCCAGAGACCTTTGCACTGGGAGTCTGTGTCCTCAACCGCCTGCTGTCCACTGTCAAGGTACGTGGCTACAACGTGTAATGGTTTCCAAACAATGAATGTCCAGTTTCTAAACGTTACCAAAACAACTTGAACAACGAGTTCTTCTTGAACCAGTGGTCTGTATTGATGAAAGCAATAAATGTTGCCTGTATTTCACATGTGATTCAACAAACGGCTTCACAGGGAATCATGAATAATCATATCTTCACTTAAGTCCACCGCACTCGGAAATCAAACTGGTATTAACATGTCTGATGTCTCACAGCCACTCCTAACATTTCTTCATTCTATTTTCTCATATTTGCACCTCTTATTTTGTAAATGCATGAACTGAGCCACTGGATTATCGTTGCTTTGTTGCAGGGAGAAAGTGTCATGTGTGCAAATTGTAAATGTCTCATCAAATCCTATTAAAACAGAGATGTTATTTAATGTGCCTGTGTCAGTGAAAAGCTTTGCTACGTATTAACCCAAAGTTATTTTTTTTAGGCCCAAACCAAATATCTGAAATGCATCGCTTTCACCTCCCTGGTCCTCGCTGCCAAAATCAATGAGGAAGATGAGGTGAGATCACACACAAACGAGAATAATCAGCTCTATAGGGGGAAAAATCAGACACTGACTTCAATGCTATTTGAAAACAGTACGTTTATTTGCTTCCCTTTTGTTTTGAACAGGTTATAGGTTCTGTCAAAGACCTGGTTGTGCAGAGCGGATGCAGCTTTTCAACAGCGGAGCTTCTTCGCATGGAGAGGATCATTCTAGACAAGCTGCACTGGGACTTGTACACAGCAACACCAGTCGACTTCATACACATAGTAAGTTTAGACTTCAGCAGAGAGACGGGCGAACAGAGCACTTTTCTCTTTTTCTGTTTTCTAACTGGACGTGGAGTCGTCAGAGCGTCTCACAGAGAGCTGCTCAGACTCTGAGACGCTCTGTGACTCAGGTCCTGGTCTCGCCTCACAAACACAGCAGTACAAAAGCACACGTCAAAACCATCATGCTCGCTTCAAGGTGGTCCTCACGTACCCGCACAAACACCCCCCCCAACCCACAGCAAAGAATTGGTCCTAGTAGAGATTGTGCATTTAATTAATTTGACTCCTTGTGCCCATGATTATTAGAAAAGCCACGACATTGTCCTTCCCCCTTTTTTTAAATAAAACACTGCAGCCAATAATGACAAATAAAATCATGTCTGTCACTGATGATTAGAGGATAAATGAATTTCCGTTTAGTTGTCCAACACATCAGAATAAACAAATTAAGTAGTGTCTGTCAGACAGTTGATTTTATTTGCCTATAATATAAAGTTGCTGCCTGATCACAGCTATGATTTAACAGTCTCTGCACTTTACCCACTTGGTTAAGGTCTAATCTAATAGATGGAATAAATCAACCTGCTTTAAATCAGTGGTTCTCAAAGTAAATTCAGTATTCCAGTATGTTGGTGCTGAATTCTGTACTCCTCCTGTACTAAAACATCTAAAAGTAAAAGTCTTGTCAAACGGGTCTTTGAGTCAGTTTAAGGGTCCTTGACGTGCAGAAGTTTTAGAACCGCTGCATTAAACGACTCATAAACCTGAAACTCGCTTTAGTGTCACATCTTGGTGTAATTGCAAACGCTTCCTGCAGCTTCACTGACAGCATTGGACTTGAAAACTACATATTGGACAAAGTTAAGTTATATATCGGAGACCAGTGACAGTTTATGTGGGCAAAAATAAAGACACATTTCAGCAGGAGGTCTGTACAGAGCTGGATGAGATTCCTCTCACCATGTTAGGACTTAATTTTCAAGCTGCCAGCAAAATAACATGCGTGTTGCACATCAGGCCAAGGCACTTCTGACTAACTCTTCCATGCAGCCTGACAATGGAACCCTGCTGCCACCAGAGCGAGCGTGTGCAGACGGGTCATCTTTGCTATCAAACCTCAAACTTAACAAAAACATACACAGGTTGTTATTGTTCACAGATCTCATGCACACTCAGGTTTTGGCACAATACTGTCTCACACTCTAGTCTCATTGTTAACCCTGACTAATCATTACCAGAGGCAGACAGTAGCATCCGACTGAGCCGTCGACAAACACACACACACACACACAGCGTTGCTCAGGCCTTCATGCAGTTGGGTTCAGGGCTGTATTCATAATGCTTTTCAACACGAGGTCAGACAGGATGTCATGATTAAAGATCCGTATTTACAAGGTCAGGAAAACAGTTGGAGCAGGTTTAAATGAGGTAAACATAGAGCTGAGTGATACGGGTGATAATTAAATAATAACTCATGTTGCTCCTCTTTTTAGCCACACTAGCATCATAGCTCTAACGTCAACCCACCACTTTGGTCCAGGCTGAAATGAATTATAAAAAATTCATTATTCTAACTAAAGTGTCAGTCAGTCAGAGTTTCACAAAATAAAGCACTGCATCATCATCATCATATACCAAAATACAAATCAATGGATTTTTGGGGGACAATGACGATATTGAAAATGAAACCCTAAACTTTATAATAAATAACAATTAATATAAAGAGAGAAAAAACTAAAATATACAGAACTTGAATTAAGAAAATAATTTCTCTACATTTTGTAAAATATAAACATCATTCCTGCGTTGTTCGTTCTGTAAAACACAAGTTTTCATATCGACAAACATAAACGGCAATAACAACGTGTCTGTAAAAGGCTCGGAGTCAAAACCTGTTTTCTTGTAGAAGATGATGACGAATTCGACCTGAAAACCAGATCAGACTGAATGAGGAACTAAAACCGGTTGTTTGCCTGCGAGTCAGATGCTTCATGAATACAGCCCATCGTTTCCCTGACATAAACACACACTGTATTGATCCACGCCGCAGGAATGTTTTCCATTGAGAGATATTTGAAAGGAATACGATTATTTGGGAAACGCCCCTCAGTTGATTTGTGAAACCTTGTTCTGTGAATCAATAATCTCCCACAATCCCTCAGGAAAGAAAATAACAGTGTTTACATTTGTTATGATATTGACGGAGGAAGGAAACCGCTTTCTTAAAGCCACAAACCATAAATTGTCACATGGCACATTTGGACTGAATTGGAAAGATTCAGTGGAAACAAAAATCGCTAAACACATGAATTCCCTTCACTGTGACAGTTTGATACTGGTGTCGCAGGTTTACAGCGTTTTATTGTGCATCTAATATTTTCACTTTGAGCTATACAAAAATGCAAGACTTTCAAAGTAAAGGGACATAATGTATTAATAAATGCTATAATAAAATAAAGACATTTTCTCTTTTTATATCATTCAAATAAATATTGTTTTTTCAAATAAATACTTTAATTATACCGTTAAATATCTCGCAGTTATATTCCCTCCCTGCCCTGAAGAAATGACTCTGCAAGTCTTGTCTATAAAACAGCGATCAATAAAATCTATCAGTACTTTGTCACAGACTCTCCACCATGACACTGTGATGTGAATAAGTAGGAGGATTTACAGAGATGACTCGTCACTACCTCTTCAATATCCACGTCAAACTCTTTGAAAGGCAGAATCAGCTGTGACGCTCCAAACTTTCACCTTCTGGAGTTTTAAACATAGATTGAATATAAAGATGGACGACGTGACACCTCTCCCAGGTTATCTTGATCGCCCCCTGGTGGCTGGCTGCAGTATAGGTCATTAGCATGGAGGGGACAGGGGCCGAACTAAAAAATAAAATTGCACGTTAAATATAATTGAATTAAAAAAAGATCATGGCTTTTATTATGATGCTGTGAAAACAGGATGAAGCCTCACAGTTGACAGCTGAGACTAACTCGCAATTGGTCAACAGTGTTTATGGGCGTGACCTTAATACTTCAGAGCAGTTTGGTTCCAAATAACGTTAAAAGCTTAAGATGGCAGAAGATATTTTGCTTTAAAAAAGAGGAGACACGTCGTCCATCTTCCTGGACAGTCTATGGACTCTATGAGCGTTTACTTGCTACATTACCCTGCATCATGAAAACTGCAGGAGGAGCGGGCATCAGAAAGCAGTAATCGTCTGGAGCAACAGTTTTAGGGACGACCGCTCGACTTTGGGGCCACGTTGCTGAATCGACCTCGCAGAGAATTCCACTTTCTTTTAAAAACCCATGGCTTGTTTTTGCTACAGAGCAAGAGACGAACAAAGCAAATGAGCTCTTCACAACAACGTGAGTGAAAGAAACACAAGAGACGCTTGACGAGAACAGACGGAAGAAGAGCGTGTCATTATTTCTAAATCTAGTGGGTGAATTTTCTTCACCGGCCGCTCGTCAGTGTCCTGCTCACATTCTTCATTTAAACTAAAGTGTGTTACCGGCTGTGACAAAAGACGTTTATTAAACTATAATTGAATTTTTCTCACATTGAGCCCCTCAGTTCCTGCCTACAGGTGGGAACACAAAGCACCGCACACGATACAATACGAACAAGATTACTAGGATTCCTCAGGCAAGGGAGGGGGGGGGGGTCTTTATGAGTAAAACCTGATAGTGAGAATCTCTGTCTGTTGCTCTAAGTGTTGAAACAGTGACTGACACTTGAGAACAGAAGAGAGAATCACAGACAGAGACAAGTGTCCTGGGTGGATGAGAATGAAGGGGTGAATGATGTGCTGTCCCTTTTCTTTCTGGTTGAACGTTAAATGCTCGGGTGTGTTTGACGTTGATGTGAACGATGAAGTCGTAGATGGATGAATAGATGAGACAGTGATGACATCATTATGCTAACGTTTTGGTCTCATTCCTCTTCCTCTCTCCGTTCGTCTCTGTCCCCAGTTCCACGCCCTGCTTGTCTCCAGCCACCCCCACCTCATTCCGTCCATCGGGCTCGGCCCCGGCGCGCTTCCCGTCGGGCCCGGCCCTCAGAAGAGGCCTTCGGGCTTCCAGGCGGCGCTGTGGACCAGGCAGGTGCAGCACTGTATGGCCTGCCACCAGCTTTGGCAGTTCAAGGGCTCCACGTTGGCCTTGGCCATCATCACTTTAGAGCTGGAGGCGCTCACGCCCGAATGGTTCTCCGTCGTCACCGACCTGCTGAAGAAAGCTCAGGTAAGAGAAATGCACAGGACACATGCTTTTCCTCATCAGCTGGTGTTTGAGTGAAGACACGAATCAATACTTCAGTTTAAGGAAATTTTCTTTTCTTCTTTCTTTGAGAACTACATTAAAATCATTATTATTATTAAAAAATCCAATATATCTTCTGTTGAAGATATGAACAGCCTATTAATACATAATCTTTTACTGTGCTTCCGATCATTGGAGTGATCACTACATGTCTGTATTTTTGTAAACTGAATTTTTAAATGTCGTAAACTTTTTCAAAACCTGATTTCTCCCACTTCATTGATCACATCTGCGTTTGATGAAAGCACAACATTAACGTTATCGTCTATGTTTCCAGTCCTTCTCATCTAGTGACCCTCACCACAGTGACTTCTATCTTCTTTTGACTATTTGACCAGATTCACTGTTTCTTCCTCTTCCAGGTCGATAGTGCCGAGTTCATCCACTGCAAAGAGACAGTGGACGAGTACCTACACAGCTTGGAGTTCTCGCTGCCGGCCAACGCCATCTACATCTTTGACAGCGCCCAGATCCAGGAGGATGAGCGAGCCTGGAGCCCCACGCAGCACCTCTGGCAGGCCAGGAGGGGGCGTGGCGGCGGCCAGCAGGGGGACACTGACGAGTATTACGACGGTCTTCTGCGTTTGTACGACGAGGAGTCGAACGTGGGCTCAGAGGGAAGCTTGTTCGACTCCCAGCAGAAGAACGTGTCCCCCTGCCCGCCACTGCACCCTGCTGTCAACTAGCTGCACGTTTATTCACAACCATCCATCTCTGTACGAGTGCACAGCGCCCCCTATTCCACGTTTGAGATATTATAAAGTCACATGATAGAGCCTCAATCATTAGTTTCAAAATCCTGATGTTACTCACCTGATGTGATACGTAGCAAATAATTTAAAAGATTTGAGGAAATGAAGGTAGAAATAATTTAGTTGTGACTTCACTTAGGTCAAATTTAAAACCTGTTTTCTTCCCGTCTGTGCACTTGTCGACCAAATGTGAATGTGGGTGGGTGTGTGTGTTGATCCGTGTATGAGTTCACCGCCCTGCAGGAGAAGATGAATGTTCCTCCTTGGCGAAGTGTTATTGGTCCATTTACGTTATCTACCTTGGTAACACCACATTTTTCCATATTTCTTAACCTTTCTGTCCTTTTTACAGCCACCACAAATTTGAGTTCCACACGTCGGTGGTGAAGGACGATAATTATGCAGGTGTGTGTGTGTGTGTGTGTTTTTTTATTAAGTGCGGTTGAGGGGAAGAAGTTTTTTATGTTTGAGAGTTGATCCTGGTTTTGTTCGTCGGTGCTCAGGTTCCCCCAGAGCCACAAAGCACTTTGAGAAAAAGAGAGATTTTTTTAACACATATATA